ATATCTACACGGTGGGGTCATAAAACTGTAAAGTCGAATTATACACTGTCTGAGATGCAATATACAAAATTTACTTTTGTACATAAATATTAATTTACTATAAATCTATACRTACACGTAATGAATTAGATTTATCACATAATATCAATGTCATATTTTGATTGAAAAATGTGGATATTGTCGCTGGTCATCGTTTGTGCATCGTCTGTTTACCTGTTGCCAAATATTGTCCATATGGCGTTTATGCATCGGACGAATATAAACTCCGCTGATTTTTGGATATCTTGATGAATTAAAAAGACTCTACAGTATATAACGATTGAGAATAGTATCCCTTTTTATCTAAACTATTAGGAAAACTTAAAATTCACAAAAAACTCTATTGGACCAGAATATTATAAACCTAATTAAGTATGCRCAAGTGCATGTCCTGAGAATTAATCCTATGAAGTAATTTTTTTTTCTTTTATGATACACCATATTTGCAATTCCTCTAAATAGGTATTGGTTATTAGATTAGTGGCAAAATATTATAATTATGTTAGTAACTAAAATATCAAATATAATTTTCAAGTTTTATAAAATTATGGGCAATTTGAAAAATCGACATCATGCGCTTTTACCAAATAATAACCAGAATACAGTCCAAAAGCTATTAAGCACATGATGTATAAGGACCTATATTAAGTTCTAGAAACATTTATTTTTACGTAATTTTAATTTGATAAAAAATTATATCTTTTAAAATAGTTTAATTGTTATAATACTTCAGGAGCATTGTGTAGCTTTATGAATTTATGATAAACATGCATTTAAAGTTATATAATATACTAGTCTACAATCCAAATCTAACTATGTAAATTGATTTTTACCATTAAATAAAAAAAAAATGTATGGACATAAAATATGGGRYTATATCCAGCAAATTAAWCCCTATGTATAAGGTACTCYTCAAACCTATCTAGTCCTATGGAATTCAACWCAGGGGATTAGCTAAAGACTTTAATATAAACCGAATCCAAACATTTCAATCCAAATGCTTCCGGCAGATAACTAAATCTCTTTTTTATGTATTTAATGATACTCTCCACAGCTGGTACCTGCTCATTCCAACACTTGATAACGTCACTAAAACCCTGTACAAACGTTTCCACCTTAAACTTTCAAATCACCGAAACCCTCTTATCCAAAACTCCTCTGCTCGAATAATCCCGGGCGACCCTAGCCGACGTTTTAAAGTGTAGTTGGTGGCGCTGGTGCCGTGACCTACTAGGCAACTAGTTGATTAGTCCGCTATAAACACTACTATCCCGCCATGAAGTGTTATTATTGAATATCTTCTTAAACCAAGGTAATCATGACCTATTATGAGTATTATGTACATTGTAGTTATTGTAAATATCTTTCTTACAGATTGTACAAATTAAATAAATATGACAAAAAAATAAAATATCCAGCAAATCTCGGTTTTAATCGATATCATRCATACAACAAAATAAAAACAACGTTGCACAGTAAATATTATTCTCCTCTTAATATAGTGTGGAAATTCCGTTTCTTAACTTACTAAGAGTGCAGCTTTCTCGGTTTTTTGCCACGCAAAACAATTTTATTGATATATTATATACATTCGTCAGACGGAGACTACACGTTAGGATATAAACCGAAACTTTTATTAAAATATTATTGATATTGATATAACCATTGGGTATAAATGGTATAATATTAAATGGTTCAGCAACTAATTTGTAGTTATTTAAATATAATTTTAAATCACGATAATACATCGTATTTATTGTTATTGCKTTAAAAAATTATATTTTTGTTTTAAAATATAGCCAAAAATAGATGGGCATGGAAAACGTTTAAATTGTTTTTCAACACAAATCATGTCAAGGATTTGGCAGCTTCTTTGTAAATTCCGACGGACATATTATGCAGCGGGGTCCTAAAGTTTTATCGTTGAAATAAAAAACATACACTCCACATTTTTCAGCGGGAGAAGAAAAGCTATAAATCATTACGACGTGTTGTCGATGTGTATTCTTGTAAAAACAACAATTAATTAAATTTAAAGAAAAAAAAAACGAAAAAGAAAACTGCCGTATTCACACATAAAATGTAATCGTGTAAAAAAATTGATAATTTTACAGTATTATATRAATAAAAAACCACGATTTTCAATTATGACTTTTTTTATTGTACGTTATTCGGTTCACAAATTTTTCATCAAAAACATATTACATAATGTTATATTATTTTTATATTTAGTATATTTACAATAATCCTGCAAGTGTAAACACAAAATAAAAAAATGTAATTAACATAATATACTTTATAATATTATTATCTATATATACTCGTACACATATTAAACATATTTATACATTATACATTTATTCTTTAAAATTATTTTTCTATTTTTCGGACGAATAAAAATTTCAATATAAATAATAAAAATAATAGTAATAAAATAATAATAGTAGTCATAATAGTAATATATTATACACTATAATATACTATGCATTCAATATAATATTTCTATATAATTAATTATTTTATCTACGAAAAACGGGAAGATAAAAAAAAAATCAAACCGTTATTTAAAAATGTTATAATATTATGATGATCAGTTACATTGATGAGGAAGATACGACAAAATGTGTACCTAGGTATATGCTTTTATTAGTCACTAATCAGTAAACCGTATCGTAAATTCGTATAATATTTTATGATCCATATATTTGTTTGTGGCATATTTTAGATGAAATCATAAACGTACAATATTATGTATTTATAACTGCCTACGATATAATATTTTCCCAAATGATTTTGTTTTGCAGTCGATTGTGTGGTTCACTCCGAGCTTGACCCTCTCAACAGTTAGGTACCTATTTTCTAGTGTAATATTATATTCATATTAATAATAATTTAATATGTCCATGTCTGTGGTAAAGTGACATTTGTCCATACGATACGAAGAGCTCAGACTCGGATTAAGACCTATACGGTGGCCGTCGGCTGTAAACAATTTGGTGTCCCGATATTTTACTGTAGTACTTTGCAAAAATATTTTTTAACGTTCAATTTGTATTTATGTATTTTATTTGTTCAAACATTTTACTTTACTCAATCAATCGAACCCATAATTATTCAACTTGAAAAAATAATAAAATCATATTTTTAACTAATATTATACATACCTATTGGCTATTGTAGCTATATTATGTAGAAACAGTGAGACAATAATTATAAAATAAAATAACATGGGATTTATTTTATTAATTAACGAGTAATGTGTATTATATAATACATRAACTGCTGTAGTCCGACTGCAGATGTGAACAATTTAAATTAAATGAAAGTAGGTACAATGATTACACAGTAGTAAGATTACAGGTACAGATACATTCTAACCTATACATTTATAATAGTATCGTATATAAACTTGTAACTTAATCATAAAAACTTTTTTTATATGTTTTGMATTTTGGATGAAAAAAATATTGTCTTATTTAAAAAATCAAAACWTTGTTGTTAAATCGATGGTCAACCACGATTCTATACACTGTAGCCTGTAACACTATACTGTTTATGCCTTAAYCCGGGCCTGAACAAAGTCTTTATCATCCAATTTAATCACAGCAGCTGTATCGAAAAAACGATCAAGGCTTGAAAAAGCCTATATAACTCAACACCATAGCCGATGATTAATATGAAAAAAATCGTCGTACACCGCGTCGCAGCTATACCA